ATTTGTAAAAAACGCATCTGTGAAGCACAATAAAATGAGGTATTCCTGTATTTTGTGACTGGTTACTTTCACCTAGCATAACGTTTTCAAGATACAACCATATTGTAACACGTATCAATACTTCAATCCCACGTATCAATACTTCAATCCTTTTTTTCAGAATAATATTTCATTGTATGGATAGAAAACAATTTATTTACCCATGCACCAGTCAAAGGTTATCTCCACTTTTTGGCTATTATGAATAAGGAGATGAACATTCATGTACATGTTTTTTTCTGAATATATGTTTTTGTTTCTCTTAGGTATATACCTAGGAGTCAAACTGCTGGATCATATAGTAACTTCATGTTTACCTTTTTGAGGAACTGCCAGACTGTTTACAAAACCTGCTACACCCTTCTACAAACAGTGTATGAAGGTTCTGATTTCTCTGCATCCTCACCAACACTTGTTATTATGTCTTTTTTATTACCGTCATCTTAGTCGGTGTGAAGTGGTATCTCATTGCAGTATCCTACAGCAATTAAGATTCTGACTAAACCTCTCTATACTCCACTTTCTTCATCTGTGAGCAACAAGATATACCTCAATGAGGTTTTTCTTTAGTATTAAATAAATCGATTTTTAGAAAGCACTTAGAATAGTTTAGCATATATTTAGATTTCAAATTGTACCAGCTATAATGTTTATCGTATCATCTAACCTCACAACAAATATATATAGTAGTACTCTTCTATCACTGTCCTTTTTCTTTCAGCTGTCCCATCCTTTCCCATCCCTTGACTTCTAACACTTCTAACTACTGGTCCCTCCAGAATGCCCTTGCTCCTCTTTATCTCCTGGCAAACTCCAACGCACCTCTAGGACCTGCCTCAGATATCCCTTCCTGCACTGCTGAAGCAAGCTTGGCTTCTCCTTCTGCTGGACTTCCAAAGCACTTTGTACAAATTCTGAGGGTTAGATTCCTTTAAAAATAAAGAAGAAGACATCACTCAAATAAAAAATGGGGCTTCCTATAAGACTCCAACTGAAATGCAGAGGACTTCAGAACCAGGAAGCCACTCTCAGGTGGCTTCCCCTGGCCGCTCTGCTCTCTCCGCTTTTAGAGTGGTAGAGGAGAAGCCATCTCCAGTGACTAATACGTGTCCTCCACAACTCTAGTTAAAACTGGGAACACTTCTTTCCATTGTTCCCTGGAGGATTTGCTCCCGTTTTACTTGAATGCCATTATCGCCTTCTGTCAAGTGGAAAACAGAATTCTAATAATCCATGGCAGGTGATACTGTAATTGCTTAAATCTGTATCTGTGATTGCTTGAAATAAAATGCCAGATGAAGGTAAGGAAATTGGAAATTTGGAGCTGCGGTATTCTACCAGACATTAGTACAAGGACTGTGGAGTAGGCTGACAACTTCACAAGCATTAGGCAGCTTATGAGTATGAAAATGCTAAACTCAGGGCTTCAAACTCTCGGCTCAAGGAATGGCAAGAGAATCAGAAAGCTTCTATAGCACCCTAGGGAATGCCTCATTTCTTAGGGACTAAAGACAGACCAGGGCCGAGGATCACAACCAAATTTATTTGTGCAAGTTGCTACAGTAAAGTAGAACTGAATACACAGTCTTTCTAAGTCACTGAATTAAAGTTAGGACATTGATTGGAAAGTAGTGGACCCTGAGACCTAGGATGGGGACATATGAGGTTACCTTAGACTAGCCACTATATTCCTGAGCCTCCTCTCCTAAGGCCCCTGACCTTCCCTTGTTTAAACAGTCTGTATGCAGCAGTTACTTTGCAAAGAGATGTCTATTCTCCCCAAATCTTCTCCACCACCTCTCATCACCTCTAAAACCAAGTTTTAGAGTCCAACCCAATTTTAGAGTCAAATCCAAGGGCCCAGGAGAGGCTTGTAAGGTCTATTTCAGAAAGAAAATACTTATACACTGAAACGATTGCAATACCTTGTATATTTACATCAGCAGTAACCTGGAAAACTTTATGGGAGTAGATTTTAAGCATGTTATATCAGGAAAGATAGAATATAATGATGAGCCAGGCTATATTTAAATATGGTTGTCTTTACCTGAGATTCTGTTTTTAATGTGCTAGATTGAGCAGCTATAAGCATCTCTAACGGTTTGTTTGGTTGGTTTGGTGAAACTAGGATTCGATAGTGGCCTAATTCAATGATGCTTACATGCCAGAACTTCACTCACTTAAGGTAGATAAAGGAATGTAAATGGACTTACACCAAAGGGTTGAGCCACAGGGGGTCATATATGAAAGGGTCAAGGAGATGGGAATGTTGGAGTGGATTTATTATGTGTAACCTGCTCACCCTCCTCTTGACTGTTTCCTAGAAGGGCCAAGAGACACTAAGGCACTGAGAAAACATTAGAGAAACATAAGCATCCTTGAAATCTCAGCAATGGCTGAACTCTCTAGACCAAGATGACTGAAATGGCTTTTCCTATTTCAATGGGAATGTTGGCAGAGTGGCAGAGGCCATGGGTTAACACTTAGCTATCAGAGACAAGGGGGCATGATTACCATAATGGACAGCAGCGGCAGAGTGGCAATCAGAATGTCTTGACGCTTGGAGATCTGCGTGGCGCTAACTTGATGACAAGCTCCCTAGGAATGAAATAGATGGCCGACCTAAAGTACTACAACTGTGAAAACTGTAGATCATTCCTTACCAAGGCAAAAGCATAATTGCAGGTGCTTTCAGATGGTTAGAATAGAGTTTAACTGTATTTTCAAATAAAATTATCTGCTACAAATGTCTTGGCTTTACTCTATAGAACCCAAGTAGTCCGCACTGTGACTTGCCCACTGAAACTTGCTAGGTGAATATGTGGGTAATTATAAATAAATATTGGTTTATGAAATAATGATGACAATATCTTACAGAGTCTATGGTATAAAAGAATTCTAATACACACTAACAGTAGCAGTAAGGCATGTGGTGGGTAGTAAAATTAATTAAAGGGTTCTAAGGCCCTCGTACTGTTCAGAAGGTGGTAAAAGCCCTAATTTATATCAGAGACATTTTCATAAATCAAAAATGCGTATCATAATCTCTTCAGTAATACTAAAAGAACAGTATAATTATAAAAGAATTTATAATTATCAAGCAAATAGAAGAAAAACAGAATATTAAAAAGTAATTTTAAAAAGGCAAGAAAAGAGAGAAAAAGGAACATAGTCTGTATTGGACAGATAGAAAAGAAATAGTAAGATGATGGGTTTAAAACCAAATCTCTCATTCACTAAATCGAATAAAAATGGAATAAATACTCTAATGAGAAAAGTTTTAAGACTAAATGTGAAACTTCACTGTATGCTGCTTTCAAGAAATACACCATAAATACAATGCAGAGAGAATGAAAGTAAATGAATAGAAAAAAATGTATAGCTGCAAACATCAATCGAAAGAACGCTGATGCAGCTATGCTAACGTCAGACAAGATCGCTTTTAGAATGAAAGTCTTTACTAAAGGTTAAGATAACTTTTCAAAGATACATAGCAGGTGAGCTGTGGAGACTGAATATCCAAAGTTGATGTGCCTGCGTTCTTTCATAGCACCATACTACTCCCCAGCAGGGAACGGGGCATATGACTAGCAGTTTTAAACGCTGTATGATGACATCTACGTAAACACCACTTTGCCAAGAACAGGCAAAACTAATATGCTACTGTTAAAGGTTTTCGTAGATACCTGGTAAGCTGGCTATTCCTTCTGTGCAGTCATCTTTCGCTTTTCTACCCGCGTGGCGTAAGCTGACATTTACTGAACACGTTACCTTATGATAGCTGCTTCTCTACACGCATTATATAATTTAATCTTCACAACAACTCTTTAAGGTAGCCTAACTGATACGCCCGTTTTATGAGTGAGCAAACAGGTAGGTCTTCCAGGGCTAAGTAACTTGGCCAAGGTCACAGAACTGCAAGTTGCGAAATTGAGATACAAACCTCTCGCTTCAGTACCTGCCTTTGTCCCGCTCTGGGGAAATAAATCAGTAGCGACTCATTGACACTGAGAAACGATACTGTCGCTTGGTTCTCCAGGGCAGACTGGTCGAGGCACCGCGCTGCGTTCGCCCAAGCCCGCCTTTCTCACGGAGGGAAGCCCGGGCGCGCGCCCGGAGCGGCGAGGGC